CGTATCACTAACCATCTGTTTCTTAGGAAAACAAGGCCGTGTTTGAAGAAAAGCAGAAAAAGATTAAAGCAATGAAGGAAAAGGCAGAGAATTCCCGAGTTTATTGCCTACGGTTTCTGGTCAGATTGAAAGATAAATATCATGAGGGAGAAAGGTATTGTTGTTATCAGAATCTTGTTTCTTATATCAATTCTGAATTTTTCTTTGCTCAGGTGGAGACTAAGCTAATAGAAACAGCGAGTCGGCTTGAGCAGAAACTGACCGAGGAGCAAACCGCTAGACTTGAAGCGGAGAAAAGGGCCAAAGAACTCCACCAAGAATCCAGCGATGAGATTAAGAGGCTGACAAAGAAACTCGAGAGGGCGGAGAAGGAACTAGAGAAAAAGGGAGGAAATTGCGGCTTCTTCCAACTGAGAGATCTCAACACTCATTTGAGTTTCATTGTAAATTTTTTTCTTTCATTTGAGTTTATGGTCAAAAGAATTACTTTTGAGGCTTCAGCTTCACGTTAAGAAAACTTTCCTTTCATTGGRAACTTTCAATGCCTCCAAATACCGCAAAGCAAGTTGGAGAAGAGCTAATCATATTCATACTGTGAATGGAAAACTCATGGTTCTTAATTTTATGAAGCATCAAACTCATTCTGTTTCTCAAAATTCGTTAATCATAATAGGCAGCTTCAAGGTTCTTTCTTCAGGCAAGGTAAAAAGGATAAAGATTGTTATCTTTCTCTTAGATTCCTTGCTTGTTGACTCAATTTGGTTTATATTTGTAAAGATCTTCTCACTGTTATTCTTTTCTTTATCTTTCCTTTTATGGGTGCTTTCTTTCTCGACTTGTCTAATGAATATTCTGTTTTGCATCTATAAATTATAAACTCTTTCCTTGCTTTCTCACTTGGGAAGCTTTCTCTCAGGTATTGTAATGCTAAAGAGTATTTTTTTATAATTTTCTTTTGTCATTTCAAGAACCATTAACTTTCCTTTTGGGATTTCACAGATTGGAAACAATGGCATTCGAATCGTCTGACGTAAAAGTGGAGGTTGGTCGTCCTGAAAGAACTCTAGTTCTGGTTGGTCGAACAGGGAACGGTAAAAGCGCAACGGGAAACAGCATCCTAGGTGAATCTAAGTTCATGTCAAAAAGAAGAGGAGGATCTATTACAAAACAGTGTCAGCTTGAATCCAAGATACTGAATGGTGTTAAAATCAATGTCATAGATACTCCTGGTGAGTAATTGTGACGACAAATCCCACATTTTCTTGAAACATACGTTGGAGATTTAACTAATGTTGCTTTCAGGTCTGTTTAGTACTTCCTCTACGGCAGAATTTACCGTCAGAGAAATCTTTCGATGTTTAAGCTTAGCGAAAAACGGTATCGATGCAGTGCTTCTGGTTTTCTCTGTGAGTACTCGGCTAACAGATGAAGAACTATCAACGCTTCACACATTAAAGATCCTTTTCGGGCGTGAAATCGTTGACTATATGATTCTTGTTTTCACACATGGAGATGCGTTAGATGATGGAGATACTCTGGATGACTATTTGGAAGGAAGTACTGAGTTTCAGGTCGGTTTTATATTATATTTTTCTTGCGCAAGAAACGGTTTAAACATTGCTAGTAAAACTAAAGAAATCTCTTGCATCCTCCTTATAGGAAATTTTCAATGAATGTGGTAACCGTAAGGTAGTGTTTGACAATAGGCCTAGTGTCAATAAAGAAAAGAGAGAAAAACAAGTCCAAGATCTTCTCAACCTCGTCGAACAAGTCTCAGAGAAGAACAATGGTAAATCATATATGGGTGACTTATCACTTAAGCTAAAGGTGAAAAAAGTTTCTTCCTTTGTTCAATTTCACATTTCATTTATTGTATCTGGTTAAAACCTAAGTTGCTTCTCAGGCGACTGAGGTTAATTACCAAGAAAAGTATAAGGAGATTGCAGCAATGAAAGATATGTCTTCTAAACAAGAGATATCTCAGTCGATGAAGCAGTTAGAGAAGTCATATAAAGAAATGGTTAAGGGACTAGAAGAGAAGGTATAATCCATATTAACACTCTATTGCAATGTGTTATATATCATTTTGTATGTTTATTCTCTTGTCTCTGGTTAGGTCTCTAATCAACTGAAGGAATCATTGAGCGATCTGAAGGAACAACTAGCTAAGGCACAAGCCGCGAGAGCGGAAACCACGAAGAAGCTGAATGAAATTCAGAAACTATCTTCTGATGAGATCAGGAAGCTGAGAGAACAACTCAACAAAGCTGAGAGAGAAACTGCTTCTTTGCGAACAGAGCTCAACAAGAAATGCTCTGTTCTTTGATCATATCTCATTACTCAGTTCTAAAGATCGTAATAATAATAAGATCCCACAATATATGAATAAAACCAGTGTATGTCTTCATCATTACACAAACACATTTCCAATAAGTCTTGAAGGGATCATCAATACCTTCATTTGTACTATGATCTTTTAATAATAATAAAAACAAAACATATTTTATGTAGAGATAGATACATCTGAGCAGAGAATCCTCAGAATGCAAATGCTTGATAAGCCATTATTGCAGCTTTGCTTTTCTGTTAAGAGATTACCCGAGATGGATTTTCTTGTCGGGATCAGAGTAAGAACCTCCATTGCCAGCTCCAGATCCAGAACCAGCACTCATAATGCTATGAGCAAAGTAATTGCGAGAAGCTAAAGCCTCGATCGCGTTGATCTCTGAACTACTAACCATGTGATGATGATGTTGTTGAAACCTCTCCACTTCTGCTATCTGTTTTAATCATTTTAATTAGCTATATTGATGAGTTTTCTAAAGCTAGGCATAATGATTGATTGATGTGTTTAAGGAACAAACACAATATTAATTTTGTTTTTTACCTTGGTTCGGAGATAGATATTGTCATTATCAAGCTCAATCTCCTGCATGAATACCATATTCAAAGATTAACACAATTACAAAGTTTGCAAAAAAAAAAAAAAGAAGTTGTTATGTGAATTTTATCTAGAGATTTACAGCAGCCCTTTTGAGCTAAATATTACCCTTTTCTGCGCGTTTTCGATTTCAACTAGAAGCAACTCGTGCTGCATCTCGCAAGAACACAAGAAGCAGAATTAGAATATGTATACATAGATTCAGGAAACTGATATAAAGAAAAGCTTGTACATCGATAATTTGTTGTACGTAGCTCTATATATACCTTCTTGGACCGGATCCTGGAGATGGCTTTCTCAAGGCGGTTCTCAACCTGTTTTAGTTCCTTGACACTTAAGTTACTCAAAGCGTCTCCCATCAGATTCCTATAAAGTTATAAGAAATGTGTTACAGTCAATACAGAGATGGCTTGAAAAAGATAGCTCATATATATATAATACAAAACCTGTTGGAATTTTGAAGCGTTTGGATCTGTTGCCTCAGCTTCGCAGATTCTTGTTGATAGTACTATTATTTCAACACCGTCACAGTATAATTAAGAACACATATGTATGAAAGTATTTATGACGTTGAATAAGTAGAGAGATTTGAGAGAGAGTAAAACCGCGGCATTGATCTCTTGGACAGAGCTGGTGTTAGTACTATCAGAGCAAGCTTTCTTGTACCTCTCAATGGTTGATCTTATGCTGTCACAATTAACCAATCCATTTCATTTCGCAATTTCCTTAACATCTCAAGAACATGTATTATAGAGTACTTATGCATTAATTAACTACTGTGGTATTCTAATTTAAGTGTCTAAAGAAGCATTCAAGTATATTAAGGTCAATGATTATGATATTATAACATGGAAACGCAAAGAAAGAATCGTAGCTTATTTGGTTTGAATCGATCCCAGCCTAAACTTATAGTAAAACGTTTTTTTTTCTTGCAACCAGAAATCGGATTTGAAAATTGATGGGTTTTAGTAGTGGCTTAAGTAACCAGATAATTATATCATATGTTTGTTGCATCTAGCATTGATAAACAAGTGTTCCATATAGAGCATTACATCAATACAATATGAATAAGTTTCTGTAATCCTAATATTCAAATAAAATTTAAAGTTGGGTTTTAAATGAAGGACAAAATGTGGAGTTGAGCATGTATCTTGTTAAAAAAAAAAAAGACTCAATGGTTTTTGGATAATAGAAATATGTCTTTAAGATTTTA